AATTATTCCGAAAACTGATAGAGGCTAAGAAGCATGTGTTTCCTGTCTTACTAACATTGAAAATGGGGCATCCTCACATAATGTCCCTGCTGATGGAGTGAAATGGGAAGCACACAGTGCCACCTGCAAGATATTCAAGGTCTCCAAAAGAACCTGAGTCCAGTCAGGCTCCTAGGTCTAATTCCTAGTGTACAGGAAATGGGGATGTCATGGGGCACGTGTGTAACATCAGAAGTGTACCATCGTCGTTAAAGTCCAGAACGAGGAATTCTGTAGGACAGGTGACTCGATCTCGTACAACAGATGGCATGGGCAGTGGGTCAGGGAAGAGAGGGACTGCTTGAGGATTGTGAGACGTAGGCACATCAGCCATCTGCGGTATGTGGACGTCAGGCTAGGATTCAAACCTCGGCCCCACCGTTTCAGTCTGAGTTGGGACCAGTTCCTCAGCTTGCTTTTGTTTTAGTTGCACATTTAGTGGAGTAACGGTACCTACCTCAGCGTTGATGTGAGCATGAAAAGAGAAGCCATGTGACTGCTTCAGACGGTCTGGGCTTAGCACACGCAGTGAACCATTGGTAAGGTGGAGGTACATTGACGTGCAGTGTGTTCCCTGCACACTGGCGGTGTCTGTGCGTCCCGCAGCTTACCAGTCTTCGGAGCTCAGCTGTCCAGTATAGCACTCACTAGCCACATTGGGCTATTTAATTGAAATTAAGTAAAATTAAAATTTTAGTTCTTTGGCCACATTAGCCATGTTTCAAATACTGAACAATTCCTTTTCCTGTTTTCGTAATACTATTGGGTGATATTTTATTGCATTCAAGCTTTTCCAGAATAATTTTCCTTTAAAAAGAATACTACTATTCAAGTGTATTTTTGTTTTTGTAGCTCTTTTATCTTCCTGCCAAGAAGAACGTGGATTCCATTCTGGAGGATTATGCAAATTACAAGAAATCTCGAGGAAACACAGATAATAAGTAAGAACATACACATCCTTGAAGTATACCCCCAAAGAGACATTTTTCTTTTAAATGTTCTTATTTCCAAATAAATTATCTGAAGCGTATACTTTAAAACAATACCATCAAAAATAGTAAAATACATTTCGTTGGTTTGACAAGGGTTTTGGCTGGCTAACTTTTTCTTAAAGGGCTACATAGTAAATATTTTAGGTAAAATTGAAGCTCCTTCTACATATATAACCCTTGAAAGAGCAATCATTTTAAAATGTAAAAATCATTCTTAGTCTGAGGGCTGCAGTCTCCTCACCTGGTTTATTTATATTTATTTATTTGTTTTGAAATTGATTTCTTGTGCTCTTGTTAAATCTCTTTAAAAAATTTTGTTTAGTAAAAATTCATCCTCATTAGTTCAGCCTTTAATCTAATCCCTACTCTCAGGTTGGTTGAATTAATCCCCATCTTTCATTCCTTTCCCACAATCTGTTTTGAAAGTAAACATCTTTGCTCGCTTCCCAGGGAGTACGCTGTTAATGAAGTCGTGGCAGGGATTAAGGAGTACTTCAATGTGATGCTGGGCACTCAGCTGCTCTACAAATTTGAGAGGCCTCAGTATGCCGAAATCCTCGCAGACCACCCGGATGCACCCATGTCCCAGGTGTACGGAGCGCCACATCTACTGAGATTATTTGGTAATAACGCCGTTTAGAAAACAAAGTTTTTTTCTTGAGGCCTTTAATATGTTTGTCTTTACTCAGTGATACGAAGGGGTAACATGAAATAACATTCTAGAACATGATTCCATTCCAATTTGAACTTTTGTCTAAAATGATAAACTTCAAATTTGCTTTAAAATCAAGAGTTTATAAAATCATGTCTTTTAAAGGACTCACATAATTAAATGCTTATAGTGCTACCTTCGATGTAACTAAATTCTTTTGTTTAAATAGTACGAATTGGAGCGATGTTGGCCTATACGCCTCTGGATGAGAAGAGCCTTGCTTTATTACTGAATTATCTTCATGATTTCCTAAAGTAAGTCTAAGGGCATGCTTGAAATTCAAAACATGAGTGAGTATAGTAAACTGAAAATTACTCAGAGATGGACACTATGGATATTAAACTATAATGACACCGAAGGCATCGGTGCAGGAGCAGCTCCATGGTTAGTGCAGCAGTATCAGTGCAGGTGTTTGGGAACATCACCAACGACAGTGCATACCAGAGCGCTAGGGTGGAGTGGAGTGCCTAGTGGATAGTGACGGGGACAGCTGGCTAGTCTGTGGGAGGGAACAGATCCGCACTTCTGGCATGCATCAGAATTCTAGATGGACCAAAAATTTAAATCTGAAATTAAAACCATTAAGATAACAAAAGGGAAAATGTAGATCAGTATTTTTATCGTTTTTTTGTAGTGGGAATGGTCTTGCTAAAAATTACATAGTACAGGAAACGGTTGATAAGTTTGATTTAAAAAGTTAAAATTTTGCAATAAGAATATACTCAAAGATGAAGGGAACACATATTACATATCTGATAAACAGCTGGTATCTTAATTACACAAAGAAGAGTTCTTATTCAGTAAGAAAGAGGTGAACAAACCAGCAAAAAATAGAACAGAAATTCAGAGAAATGGGAGTACAAAAAAATGTTCAGCATTATGATAATTAAAATATCTCTTGTCAGACTCGCTAAGAATAAAAGGATTGAAGAAATGGGGGGAAAGGCTATCCTGGTTTCTGAGGGTTTTGGTAGGGTATTTTGGCAGTGCGTTTTAAGTTTCTGGGAGCTCGTCCTGTAGAGATACTTAAGCACAGATTCCCAGGCAAGTTGCTGTGGAGAGTACGGAGTGGCTCCCTCATTGGTAGAGAACCGTTGCCAGTTCTCAGAAAAGATCTGGAGGACAGTAGTTCCTGCTTGACAGAGCACTGGGGGGGAGGAGGGGGAGTTTTCCATTTCTACTTTATGTGTTTCTGTATTTGAATTTTCTTAAAATGACACTATATATATTTTCATAAAAACTTAAACTGCAACAAGAGCTGGGGAATGTACTCTGTGTAGTCCAGGCTCTACCAGTAATAAATACTCTCAGCTTACTTCAATTTCTTTATGAAACGAAAGTGCTCTACTAGACATTTCAGGTACCTAGGATTTTTACGGTGTTAATTTTAAGTCAAACTGGATGTTTACTTGTCAATATCTGAACATATTTAGAGAAAGAAAACACCCAGATCAGGGATCCCCAACCCCCGGGCCACAGAACGGTACGGTACCATGGCCTGTTAGGAATCGGGCACACAGCGGGAGGTGAGTGGCAGGCGAGCAGGGCAAGCTTCCTCTGTATCTGCAGCCGCTCCCCAGCGCTGGCGTCGCCCCTTAGCTCCTCCTCAGATTCTCAGGCATTAGTGTCTCAGGAGCGCCGGTCCCTGGTGCCACAGAGGTTGGGAACCACTGACCTAGATGTTATTCTTTTATAGGCCAGGCTCTCAAGTTGTTTATTCTGAAGACGGCTGTTTGCTGTTTTTGAAATAAGAGAATACTCAATGTCGTTACTCTAGGCGTTGTCTGCTACATAACCCTATTGTCTGAGTTGTAATTACATGGTTTTCCTGTGAGGTTGTGATTATTATTTTAGTATATGCTAAAATGTTCTGAGTGGCTTCTGTATATAAGTGAGAAGAGATTTGGATTAAGATGTTCTTTTTCAGTTATAATGAATAACGTTTTATTTCCAGATACCTGGCAAAGAATTCTGCAACTTTGTTTAGTGCCAGCGACTATGAAGTGGCCCCTCCTGAGTACCACCGGAAAGCTGTGTGAGGCGCTTCCCTACCCTTGTGTTTGGATCTCTGTACACATTCTGTTCTTAGTCCTTCTCTTGTACAAATGATGTACTTTGAAAATGTTAGTGTATAACAGAATCGATGTTTGTTTTCCGTTTGGTTTTAAACAGAGAAAATAAAAGGGGTTACAGCTCCTTTTTCCTTTCCTTTATTTTTCATTTCAAAGTTGCTGCCAGTGTATTCAGTGATGGACAACAGAGAGACATACTGTAGAGTGTCCTATTGCCTAGTTGACAAAGCTGCTTTTGAATGCTGGTGGTTCTATTCCTTTGACACTACGCACTTTTATAATACGTGTTAATGCTATATGACAAAATGCTCTGATTCCTAGTGCCAAAGGTTCAATTCAGTGTATATAACTGAACACACATCCATTTGTGCTTTTTTTTTAATGGTGCTTACAGTAAAGAGCCCATCCTTTGCAAGTCATCCATGTTGTTCCTTAGGCATTTTCTCTTTGCTCAGATCGTTGAAGAGTGGTGGCTTGTTTCATGGTTTTTGTATTTGTGTCTAATGCACGTTTTAACATGATAGATGCAATGCATTGTGTAGCTGCAGTTTTCTGGAAAAGTCAATCTTTTAGGAATTGTTTTTCAGATCTTCAATAAATTTTTTCTTTAAATTTCAAAGAGCAATGTGCTTGTGTGGATGTATTACAAAACCTTTGTATATTGGGTATTCCTTCTTGATTTAGACTGATTTTTCAGGCAGGTGTTCACTTTTCTTGTTTGGCCTTTATGGAATGAGAAGTTCGGTTTAGTACCTACCTCTAATCCACAGCAGCTTTGGCATTTTGTTCTCTTGAGTTTTGGCTGAGAAGTTAGAGGTTCACATGACTCTTATTCTATTTTCCCTAAATTATTGTTATTTTGAGCGTTAAAGAGAATTTTCACCTATGAGACAGACAGTTTGCTTTCTGCCAAAAATTGTTTAAGGTGTTTATCAATATTCACAATTCCTAATTTTCAGAATTTTCTTAATTATTTAATAAGACTCCCTCGCTTAAATAATAGCATAAGAATAGAAGAACATTGGTAGGTTTGCCCAGTGATACTAAAGAAGGCAAGATCTTCCCTGGACATTAATCTTTAAAGTAATTTTGAGTATTTTTTTATTTACCAGTAATTCTTAGTGTGGCTTCAGAATGTCTTGTGCAGTAATTAGAGCAGCCGGCGTTAATATGGGTCAAGAAATCTTGAACCAATGATGATAGTTAATTTGTTGCTTCCCAAAAATTGAAATTAGATTAATGTTAAAACTTTTCTTGAGGTATAATTGACATATATTAGTTTCAGCTGTACAACATAATGATTTAATATTCATATATATTATGAAATCACAATAAGTCTAGTTGCTATCCATCACCGTACGTAACTAATTAGAAAATTTTTAAAACCATTTTGTTCTAATACTTTTTGAAAAACTTGTAGGTCTTTATAAATATTTGCACTTTCCAGTATTAAACTAACCGTTGCAGTTTGGATCACAGCCATCTTTGAGACTTTTACATTAGGTACCTCATGTGCTGTGATCTAGAATTTTAGTCTTAAGTTTATTCCTTGAACTAGTGATTCAGTTCAGTTAAATTAAAAGAATGGACTTGAGGGACAGGAAGATGCATGGCTGATGATGAAGCTGCATTTAAATGAATACTTTCTTGGCTTTTTGCCTCCATTTCCTTTCCTTGTTACTGCTGCGTTCAGTTAACCTTTACGTATAAAGGTGGTGAAATAGTTTCATTGAGATATAATTGACATTAGTTTCAGGTATACAGGAGAATGATTTGATATTTATATTAATACATGTATATTTAAAGTGAATTTTTCAAATTGATGGTAAAACAGTAAACTAATGTTTTAGTACAGTCTTAGAACTCGATATACATGTTTATGGAGAAATAGAGATTCGTAAAGCTGTAGGCTCTAATTTTGTTATTAGGACTAGGATATAGTGAAATAGTTTGTTTTTGAGCTTGGACACGTCTGTGGCATTTGTGCGTATCAGAGCCCTGGTACCTTGTTTACATAATAGGCACTCTAAAAATTTTGTGTTGTTTAAGCAGTTGTGGTATCTTGAAAGTTTTGAAATTATTTCCTAAAATTGAGGTCACTTCGTGCCTGCTTATCAACCCTTCTCTCTTTTTTGGCCTTTGCTGAGTGTGATTCTGTGCAGCCCTGTAACTGCCATCTGTCTTAAAGACATTTGTTAATAGTAGCTGCTTATACATTAGCAGTGTATATTACAAACAGGAAGTCAAGGTTACATAGGTTAAGGTACTTGCCCATGGTCCTTCAGCTGTAAACAACACACCCCTGAACCCCCCATCTCCCATTGCCCAGCCACACAGATATCCATTCATCTTCAACGACTGAGTTATCAATTCTTAGGTATTTTTTGCTTTCCCTATCTGCCTCTTTTATGTCTGCCTTGGTGTGTGTATTTTAATAGCTTTCTGGTCCTAACACTTCCCTGCCCCCCATGCATTCATTCATTTCCCGCTACCTGCCACCAGTTTTTACGCAGAGCAGTCGTGCTGCTTCCTTCCTTAGAACTACTGCTTTGCTGTTTAATAGTGTTCGAGTCATGGGAGTGGCGTCAGGGCAGGGTAAGGTTCAAACTCTTAAGTAACACGGCTTCTCCTGTCTTTAGCGTGCTGTTTCAGCCGGGGCTTTTGTTGTCATTGACTTTTGTTTTTGTTTGTTTGCCTCTAGGCTCGCTCTCTCGGGCTGTTGAGTGGAAAAAGCAAGTGGAGAACAATATTACAGTATATTAAAAATCCCATGTTTCAGGAATTATGAACTTATGGTTTTTCTTTAAGGTCTGGAGACTTGTCTGGGGGGCAGTATAGTATTTTCAAATATCATCTGAAACTGCTCCTTCTACAGAATGCCTAGAAATGACAAGATAAAATATAACTTTTTTTTTTTTTTTATAAATACATAGGCGAGCACAAAAAAGCAGGGACCTTTACGAAACCTTTAAAAAATATTTAAAGAGAAAAAGAATTATAAACATGGAAAAAGGAACAATATAGACTTAACACGAAAACCAGTGTAAAATAGTGGCACACTTGGTAACTCAGACCAGCCTCCCACGGAGGACTCTTAGAAAACAAGCAGAATTGTAGTAATGTGTGCCCGAAGGCATTGGCGACCTAAGAAGCTGGGGAAGACTTAATTGCCAGGATCTGAGGGAGAACAGTCTGAGGACGTAAGCCCATGGTTAGTGCTGCTTTTATCTTGCAGGTGTTTGTCCAGGTCACAGTGTGTGCCTGATAGCCTGACTGGTGCTTTTGACAATCTCACTTGGGCTAAAGAACATGGACGGGGGCCTGCCGAGAAATTAGGACCCCACAAGGTTATACCTTAGGGATATGGGTGAGTGAGACGTAATTATTTCCTCAAAAAAAATTTGCAAATACGATGTTCAGCATGTAGTTAGCTAGGTATGCGAGACGATGAAGAATAAATTAAAAGCATCTCTTTGAGCAACAGACTGTTAGATTCAATTTACTTTTAACAAAGGACGAACACCCTAAGTTGGTTTTTTAATAAAAGTCATTCAGATGATATTGGGGTTATAAGACACAGTTTAAAATAACTGCTTACTGTATTCAGAGAAGAGTTGCAGTTGAGAATTTAAGCGGAGAACTTCAAAAGAACCAAATGAGAGTTCTAAAATCAAAACATAATAGCTAAAATAGGAACTTAATATAAGGTTTAATAGATTAGACACAGCTAAAGAGAAATATTGGAAAATAGGAAGAAATATGTATTTCGAGGGACAGAGACAAAGGTGGAAAATAAAGAGATGGTAAAAGACAGCAAATGCAGTGACACAGCTGGTTGGTAACGTGGAAGGTAGCGCAGAGGGGACGAGCAGGAGGGCATGGGGCAGGAGCTGCAGCGGCGGCGGCGGCAGCTGACAGCCTGCAGAACTGGAGAAACAGTGTCAGGTCTAGCGAGCCAGGAAGCCCACTGAACTCAACCCAGTGAACAGCATCCTTCAATAAAAACTTTCAAACAAAATGGAAAAATATTGCAAAATTTATCATAGACTGAAACTGGAGAAGAAAATACTATTTAGTATAGAAAGTTTTGGAGTTGCTTGAAGAAATGAAGCTCAGTGAAAATGATAGATACGTGGGAAGTTTACTAAATGAAAGTATAATAATACTGTCCTGTTGAGTTTATATATAAAATGATAACCGTGACACAAAAGTGCGTTCATTGTCCATGAAGAAGGTGATTGTCAGGAAAGCATGTGGAATCTAGGCCAACCATTAAAAGAACAGTTAAAGAGTTTTACTGCCAGTATAAGAAAATAGTTCGATTTTTTAAAAAAAGGAACAGAACAGGTACAACAAATAATAAGACGGTATATTCAACCTGAGTATGTCACTAACAATGTAAACGGCTAAGTGCTTCAATTAAAAGATTATTAAACCAGTTAAACAAAATCTAACTGTATACCATTTATGAGGACACATCTAAAATATAAGGGTGAAGATTGTTTTAGTTATCTATTGTGTTATCCACTCCAAAACGTAGTTGGCTTAAAACAGTGACTTTTCTCATGAATCAGGGAGTTTGCTGGGCTTCACGGGGCAGTTCTGCTGGGCTTGCCTGGGGTCACTTTTGAGCCTGGTGGCGGGAGGTGAACCCAGAAGAATTGAGGGGCTTGCCTCTTTGGTGATGTTTGCCGGGGGTGCAGTGGTCTGGAGTGAGTTGGACTGTTTGCGCCAACCTGCTCCTGCTCGCGGTACCCACTGCGGGAGGTGCTGCACACAGCGGGCCTCTGCGTCCTGCAGCGCCGAGACCCTATCCACGTGGTAGCGCCCTGGTGCACGCACCGAGCAGCCCGAGGGCAGCCTACGCGGGGGTTTTTTCACTTGGGAAATACTGGTTCACTCAGTTATGCAAAATTTCCAAATGTTGACAGCTCTATACAGTATGGGAGATTGGTGCAAACATTTCTAGGGAAGTCGTGTAGATCATGAATGAAGATGCTTGCATCTGTGAAAGTTTGCCAAAGGACGTCTGTGATAGACTAGGTTCCATGTGTTATCCCGGGTAGAGAACACTTGTGGGCGTCCCAGTCACGGTCCCTGTTAAGGTCTCATCTCCGCCAGACGTGAGTGAGCGAGCCTTTCGCTGACCATAACCTCCACCTGCTGCCTCCCCAGCCAACGCTGGGTGGAACAGCGATGAGCTGCCAAGTCCTCATGCCCAAATCACAGGTTTGTGAGCAAAGGAAATGTCACTTTCAAGTGACTAAATTTCCGTGTGGTTGGTTATGCAGCAACAGGTAAGTATCTTGAACACCTGGATACTTACTTGCCGTCATTGATTGCTGAGTCTGCCGACGCCTGGTAAGGTGCCATGTCTGGGGTTACCATTCAGTCATGTGGTGACAGGTCGGTTACTTTGGATCCCTTCCATCGTAGCGGGGATACCCGTTTCTCTTCACTGGAGTAGATGTGTATTCTGGATAACTAGATACGAATTTGCTTTCTCTAATTTTTTAGCCAATGCTGCTATCTGTGGACTCATCCTTATTTGCCATCATGGTGTTCTGTATGACATTGCTTCTGATATACCCCATCAGCCTGAGGAAATGGTGGGATTAA